CGTTTCTTTTAGGTTTGATGAAACCCTAATCTCTAAGATCTTTCGATTTATTTCAGATCTACCTTAGATATGTGCTTACCATGAATTTTTATTTTTCTCGAAGGTTCTTTAACTTTGCTTTCAAAACGACTCTTTATATTTTCTAATTAGGTTTTTTCTTTTAAGTTATTTCAAAAATCTCTTCTCTGATTTTAACGTGTTTCTGATCTTGCTATGTTTTGCTCATGTTGTTCTTCTATCCGAGTTAGCATGTTTAAGACCCTAATTTCTTTTGGGCCTTAGTCGAGTTTTGAAGTTGTTTGTTAAATGTGTACATGTTTGTTTAAGTTCTTGCTTGACTCATCTGTTCACCATCTTTTGAACTCGTTTGTTGTTGAAAACCCTAGGTCTTTTGGGTTTGAAATTGTTGTCTGAACACTCGACTCGATTGAAAGTTCTTGTGTTAACTCTTTTTTCTCTATGTGACTTATCTGATTTTTACTATCTTTCTAACTCAACTTTTATCGAAAACCCTAACCTCTCAAAGGGTTTCCTCACCTGCTACTGTGAAACCTTTGCATGTTTCTGATAATCTATTTTCTTCCCTGTTGATTCAATGTGACTTGACCTACTTGATTACTATGTTTCGAATGTTTGCTTTACTACTGAACCCTAACTTATTTCTGCCACTACTACATGTTTGTGATTATCTCTTTTGCCAATGTGTTTGGCCTCACATGTCTGATGACCCTGTTTACTTTATTTATATGCTGAAGCCTCCTCTTTGATTGATCTTGGTCTTGTGACTGATTTTTAAAGTTTCCCTTTTATGAACCTTGATTTCACTCGCCCGTTCAAAATTGATTGATTCTTTTCCCTTTACTGTAACATTTACCTTGCTGAATCTATTTCCAGAATAAACATATTTCTATACTTAGACTCGATTGCTTAATTTATGTTTTTACTACTTCTTTTATGGAAATAATCAGTCTGTCTCTAAACTGATTTCTTTCCTTATTTGAATCCATTACTACCCATTAAACAGCGATTCCTTAATTAAAGGGGAATCACTCGGTTAATTAATTCTGACTTGTGATTGTTTCCATGTTTGTGGTAGAACTTTACTTATTACTTTATTCCTTACCTGTTTTCAAAAGCTATAAATATCATGCACCTTTTTTTCTTTCAAACATATGAAACACTTGAGTTCAGAACATACACTTCACTCAAAACTCTCTCTCTTTTCTCTGTTACTACTTGTGTTGTTGCCTTACCTATCCGGCTCAAAGCCAAGGCTAGGCTGTGGGAAATTTGCTTACTTTTCTTTCTGCATTTGCTTCTTTACTGGTATGTTCTAATTAATTTTCCAGCATCAACAACAACATGTTTCTTTACTATTTTCTTCACTCTTTCCTGTTTCCTGCTTATGTTTAGTCAAGTTACATTACCAAGCATGCTGTAATCTGCCCCTTTCCCTTTTGAATTAATGTTGTTCCTTATGTATGAACTCTATCAGTCACTTATTATGACTTATGAATCCCAAACCCCCATGTCCCCTATGTGTTTATATTCTTTGGTTGGTTTGAGGGCATGTCAGCATTAGACATTGTTGTGCATGACCCAAACCTGACCCTCCCTGGGGTCATATGCTTTATATACCCTCTATGTGTTGTATTCTCTGGCTAGTTTATGGGCATGCCAGCACCATCTATTGTTGTGCATGTCCAAAACCTGACCCCATCCTAGGGTCATATGCTCCCTGTAATGAATTCCCAAACTCCTGACCCCTTGTATAAAAATGTTGATTCTGTGTAGTGTTAGCTTCACTACTACTATTTCAAGCTACCCTTACCCCTTACTATTCTCAACTCAGTTAAATCTCTGTTTCTACACTTCCACTATACTCTTAGACTTAGGTTCTGCCCCTCTTGTGTGAGCCTTGCCTTGGGACCCGTGAGCTCCCTCTGAACTTGGACACATAAGGGCTGGCCCTTCTACACTGCACTCATCTCTATCTGATTTTGCAAACTTAGGTGTAAGCATTGCCCGGGGTCCCTTGAGACCCATAGGGAACTTTGACACACTCAAGTCAGAGAAACCTTTGGAACAAATAGCATTTGAGGTGGTTTATTCCATAACTCAGAGAGAAAGTCAAGAATCGGGCTTCCTCTGGTTGTAACTTCTTCTTTTATACTTTTCTGATGTAATTCATCATTCAGTTTGTAATAATGTATAATGAACATTGGGGTTAGCTAGTGAAAAGGGTTGGGTAATTGTGCATGCTTAAAGGTAGATATCATGCCTATAAGATCTGTTGTTTTAAATTCTGCATGTTTAACTCTGCATTTACATGTCATGCCTATAAGATCTGTTGTTTTAAATTCTGCACGTTTAACTCTGCATTTAGATATCATGCCTATAAGATCTGTGTTCTTTAAAATTTTGCATGTTCTACATCTAGAGAATATGCCTATAGGACCTGTTTTCTGCATTTAGAGAACCTGTCTATAGGACTGGTTTAAATTCTGCATGTCTAACTCTACATTTAGATGACATGCCTATAGGGTTTGTCTTCAATTCTGCATGTTTATTACCACACTTAGACACCATGTTCTTAGGATCTAAGTGGTTACAATCCGACATCATTAAAATCAGTACCTTTATAGAAATCATACATATAGGAATTTCAAGTAAATACTGCCTGCTTCATTTCACGTTCGACTAGATATCATGTCTATAGGAATTAAAATTAGCAATAATAGATATCCCGCCTACAGGATCTGAAACCAGTCTAGTTTAAAATCAGCGTAACTCGTATTGTTCTGAATTAGTTTTAAAACAGCCTTACTCTTTTATTTAACGCGGTTTAGAAAGCATATCTATAGTATCTCAAGTCGTTTGTTTTAGAGTTGTTACTGCTTTGCCACATTCTGAGTCAGTAATAGGTATCATATTTATAGGATCTCACCCAAACACTTAGGCAACCCTTAGGTGATAACAACCAATAAAATCTGAACCCGCTTGTGTTAATCAGTAATTGCTACAACCAGCAGGCAGACCTGATTCGAACTTCTTATCTGAGTTATGTAATAAACTGGTCTGCCTCAACAATTAAAATTCTCCTTGCCTTAGTACTTTAAATTCAGACCCTAACTGTGTTTAAGTCATGCTATTTATGTGCTTTGTTTGAGGAGGTATACATGAGCCTTTTAGTTGTTTACATGTTTCTCCTAATATGCAGTCCTATGTGTTTTTGTATGTCGCCTTAGATTTTTCACCTTTTGAAACCTAAAAGTCAGCCTAATATCCCTCCTCTTTAACAATAGTAGTCCTAAGTACCTGCGGGACCGATAGGAGTGGGATGGGCAATAGCATGCAATAGTGGTCGAGATCAATCCGCGCTTTAATACCTCGACGGGGTGGGAATGGCAGATATGGATATGATGACCGATGCATTAATACCACGTGTATCCCTTATTCTGAAGAATGTCATACCGGGTATCGCATTGATGTGATCCATATTATAAATAAACCCAGGACCTCCCCTCCCCTCTCCTCTCCTTTCCTTTTATATTCCCAAGTATCTGTGAAAATGTGACTCATTTTTCCAAAGTTCGCCTTTAATTGTTCTTTCAAACTCTTACGTGTTTAAACCTAAATCTCCTACTATTTGAGCCTATATTTGTCTATTTGCTAATTGTACAAATTCACAAAACTATCTGGCCGGGAACCATACTAGTGGATCCTGGGGGATGTCTAACACCTTCTTCTTAGGATAATTTCAAGCTCTTACCCTATCTTTGGTTATCAAGCAAACTTAGAAATGAACCCTATAGGTGTCCTAATGCACCTTAAATCATTAGGTGGCGACTCTTCAAATGCAAAACCCAGTTCTCAAAAGGAATGAGTTGTCTTATACCCAAGATGTCATAAATCCGAATTTCCGATGCAAAGAGGGAAAAAGGGGGCGTGACAGCCGCAACAATACTATAATTGGATTGGGTTGCACGCCGCAACAATAATATAATTGGATTGGGTTCACGCTGCAACAGTGATATATGGATCGGGTTACACGCCGCAACAGTGGTGTTATATTTTGGGATCGGGTTGTGCGCCGCAACAATTGATAATACAAAGTGGTTGTGGATTGGTTACGAGTTCCTTATTATTTGCTGTAAATTCTAGGTTGTCCTTATGCTTTCCTCTTAATTTATTGTTGGTATTGATATTCCCCCGCAGCATGTACCCCCTCCCATCTTTAATTGTTTATTCCTGTTTTATTTTCCGCTGCATATTATATAACTGCACATGTTTATTTGGTAGTCTTGTCCTAGTCTCGTCACTACTTCGTCGGGGTTAGGCCAGACACTTACTAGCACATGGGGTCGGTTGTGCTGATACTACACTCTGCACTATGTGCAGATCCCCGAGCGGCAGGTTTTGGACCGTAGCATTGGGTGGCTGCCTTCAGTCCAGTTAGAGATCCCGAGTTAGTCCTGCAGGCCCCGCGTTCTCTTCTATATTTATATGTATTCTGTTTTCATTTACTTCAGAGACAGATTGTACCTTTCTTTCTAGACATTTGTATGTAGTATTCGTAGTTGGTCTGTGATATTGTGACATCGGATTCCGGGTAGAGATATATGTTGGTACTATCGTATTGGTTTTGGCTAAGTTATCAGATTAAGTCTTCCGCATGTGTTTATTTATCGTTAATATTTCATTGCCAATCGCATGTTAATTTAAATTATTAAAAAGGCTAAATAAAAGAGTTAGTGATTCTATATTACACGGCTTGCCTAACTTTCACGAGTATGCGCCATCACAATTCCCGATGGTTAGAAATCCGGGTCGTGACAAATATACACAAAAAATAAGATCCTACAACATGAATTTCTAAACAAGCAGAACCCTTTGAGCAAAAGAATTAAATAAGTAAAAGAGGAGTCGGATTCACCTTCCACGAGGCAGTAAACGAGGCTTGGGTGATGGCTAATTGCTTGGTCTGAGCTATTGAACAGTGGGCTTTGACTAATCTTAATGGGATAAATCAATTGAAAGAGATCTGGTGGATTACTAATGGACTGGTTAGAGTGACATCTGGGCTAGATTTTCATGGTCTTTTTTTTTTTTTTTTTTTAAAAATTAACTTAAATCGGCTTCCATGTCTCTCAATAAAAATACTTGAGCATATATAATAATACATATTAAACTAAGTGATTAACTCAATAATAGTCATAATGAAAGTATTAACAGTGATAGTAATAGTAGTAATTACTCCAATAGTTATAATTATAATAATGGTTGTAATAATAATCATAAATAATTAAGAAACTGAGTCTTAGATTATTAATAACTAGGGAGCATCAGAAAATTAATCAAAAGAAAAGTAGGATAAAATTGGATATCAGCATTACTCATATGTCCTAATTGATCTCATGATTTTAGTACAAATTATCATAACTTTGAAAAAATAGTTCACTAATCCTAACTGATCGCCACAAGGTGTGATGGACGGATCGTCATAACTTTTACATATAAAAGTTTTACCAACATGTTTTTATTTAAAATTGATTAAAATAAACTCCAAATACTTCAAAGTTGATATTCAACTTTCTATTATCAATTTCAGTATTTTCATTGGTTAGGACAAGAGGGGTTGCTCTGATGGTAAGCAACCTTCACTTCCAATCAAGAGGTTGTGAGTTCGAGTCACCCCAAGAGTAAAGTGAGGAGTTTTTGGAGGGAAGGATGCCGAAGGTCTATTTGAAAACAACCTCTCCACCCCAGGGTAGGGGTAAGATCTGCGTACACACTACTCTCCCCAGACCCCACTAGTAGAATTATACTGGATCGTTGTTGTTGTGTTTTTCATTGGTTACATTCAACCCAAAACGAAAATAATAGATCTACTTCTTCTTCGTCATATTTTTCAAGTTCACTAAAATCCAACAATGATTATCTTTAAATTTTCTCAACCAAACCAACATAAATCATTAAGGATAGATAATATAAGCACAATAAAACATTACCCGCTCAATTTCAACCACAAGCAATAACTTTTAAATTTTCTACGCACATAATTCATTCTTTTCGATTTTAAGATAATATAATTGCTCTTTAGCCCACAGAAACAATTTATTAGCAAAACTTGGAAAAGAGGAGTTCTTCGCATGAAACACTCGAGTAAAAATGAGGACTTATTCACGAACTTACAAAAGTTCAGGGTCATTTGCTCAATTTCTTCTTTCGTACGTGACCACTCCACACATAACAGCTATATCGATGTGCAAGACTTGCAAAAGTTTTGTCCTTCATTGCAATTATGAGACCTTCTCCGTATTAGGGTTTTCTCTGTAAACGCTATATATACAGTAGTAAGCCTATCTGAAATAAGCACCAGTCCACCAATGCCACCCCACTTCACTTGGCTGCTGCCGTTTCTTCTCCTTTGCTCCGCCTGAGCAACCTATCTGCTAAGTTTGCTCGTCTTCAGATTTTGATGTTGTTGGTAACTAGTTTTCCTCTTGTTCTTTATTTAGTCTTTCTGTATTTCCCCTAATTTTATATTTTTCGAATAATATTAGGTGACTAGACGAATAGAGTTTAAGAAAATCAGCTCGTACAGTTGATTTTTTCAACTAAATATATGCAAAATGAATTATATTTGTGATATTACTATATGATTTTGATTGTAATGTAAAAAAATGGCTTCACAAAAGAGTCAGCAGCAAGTACCAGTTAATGGTAACCCGTCTGCCGCATGAAGCCTAAATAAACCAATTTCCAAAATGAAGACCCATGAGAATCATTGTTTTCTCATGACACAATATTTTTTGGTATATACTAAATTTATATTCAGAAATTTCTATATAATTTAGATTGTTGGAGGAGATACAGGCATTTCTCAGACAACGGGGGTTTATTTATTTCTATAAAAAACTACCTTTTGCACGGTGCCTATAAAAAGCTGCTTATCACGATTGGAGGGTGTTCTGCTTTTTGCTAAGCATTCCTTCAAATTAATAGTAGCCAAATTATTTGTGTTAATTTTCCTCCATTATTTGGCGATGATGAGTTGCTAACACGTAAGAAGATCTAATTTAAGCTTGGATCAGCTTGGATCTTCGATGAAATTCACTTGTTACGCTTGGCTTCTGAGCTTTATCTATTAAAATTGTTATTTTTTTAGTCTGAGTTACAAAACCTGATGATAAAAGCAGGGATCAATTGACTTTATTTGTGAATTGGTCTCTCGTAAACGTCAGGGAAATCGGAATTGCATTGTTATTGGGTGAACCACTTGACCCCTCATGATGGAATGGTTCAGTAAACGATGATACATATTTTTCTGTTAGACACATTTACATTGAATAATAATTTTAGGATGATAGTGTGCAGCAATTTCCAGTTTTCCTGAAGTAATGAAGTCTTAGAGGAATGTTGACATCCTGGCGTGAGATATGAATCTTCTATGAATTCCAATTCCAAGTGTGATTACTTGCTTAAAATTTCTGCAGAAAATACTAATTGGCTTTGCGATGTGATTTTTCTAATCCTAGGCACTCTTCAAGGATATGTTATTGTGATAAAGTTAAACAGAAAAATAGCTCTAAAAAGAAAGAAAAAAGAAATCTGTTATGAATATATAAGTAGGTAATGAGAATAATAAAGAATGAGCCAAGAATAAAGATTTTCGTATAAGAATTAATTTGCTCATATAAATAAATTTGGTAATAGCAATCAAAAATCAAGCACAAATGGGAATAATGGTGAAAGCAATTACTCCCTCCGTTAGTGGTCTTAAGTTAGTCAAAAATGGGTTAGTGTATTTGTGTGGTTATAAAAATTTCTCATTAAGGTTAGAATTATAAGTTTAATTAAATTGTTTCCAAATTTGAAAAGGTATCCTTCTTTTTTGAATGGATCAAAAAGAAAATAAGGTTTACATAAGTTGGAAGGAGTATTAATTATATCATTAGTGTACATTGTACAGAATAATTATTGCAATTTGAGTTAAATTTTATTACAGATTTTTAATCATTTCTTATTTATATGCTTGTAAGTTGTAATGAATGTTGGATTATGGTTTAAAAATAGGGTATACAAACCTAGATAGTTCAATTGTTTAATTCACTTTGTTGAATAAGAGTAAGGTTCAACTTATATACGTTCCCTTGAAAATATTCATGAAACATTCAAACATCAAATTTTATATAGGCTAAAGAGAGTACTTAAAGCACTAAATGATATCTATCACAAAAAAATGGAATCAATATGTCTAATAAATTGGTGAAAGGATTGTTCTCAGATTTTAAATGAACTTATGTTACCATTTAGAGTAAAATATAATATATCCCCAAGTTCGGATTAATTATCCCAGCATTAAATAATCCCAAATGGGACTCAGATAATGATCAATTGCACCATCAAGTTGAATTTCTACTTATATTGGAACTCTATAAACACAATTTCATCACCAATCCTTCTTAGATCATCATTAATGGTAATGTCACAGCTTCACATTAACTTGATAATGCTAAAATAAACATAAGCACACTAATTTAGCTTCTAAATTAGTTACTGTAGTATTGTAGCAATCAAAGTGGGATTACAATCGTTTATGGCTGGTGGTCTTACAATAGATGTAAAATAGTGATAGGTTAAAGTGATAAAAATGAATGTGATGGTTTTGCGTGTGTTGTCTACGAGTATTGACGGGGGATGAAGTGGCGGTGCAGTAAAGGTGATCTTCAGTGGTATTTTTTGATAGTGCAGAGAATCGGTTATTATAGTGGATACAGAGAATTGTTTGATGTTGGCCGAGAAAAATGAAAGGAATTTTTACCAAAGGTTAATATTTTATTTATTTTAAATAAATATTATTTTAAAAAATTATATTCTATAGATACCTTTTAATGTTTATAATAAATATTTAATTTTGGTTACCTCCTATTCCTAAACCACTAAATACGCTATTCAGTTACGCTATTTTTTCCCCCTCTATTTTGATATATGCTATTCTCTTTTTCCATTCGCTGAAAACACGATGTTTAATCTCAAAATTCCACCCACATCACCTACCATTAGTTTACTAAATATATTTTTCAGGTACCTAACCCCACATGCGGTGGTAACAGCTGCGACTTCAACCTAACCTACGTCTTCTCTAGCATAGAAGCAAGTCTCTCACAAGACACTTTGACACTCTCCACTTACGCCATGCCTTCATATACCTTTGGTTGTGTACATAAGGTCATCGGCCGCTCCACTCCACCCTAGGGGCTATTAGGTTTGGGCCGAGGCCCATTGCAGTTTGGAACTCAAGGACGATGCCTTATTGGATGGCTTGCAAGAAGACATATTTGATTAGATTCGACGGATGACTATGTTCTTGTAGCGGCTAAATCTGTTAACTACTATGTACAGTTTGGTGAGTAGAGATGTTAATAAGGGAGTTTGCGCTTGTGACTGGACTCAAATGTGTTGGTAACGATGCTGATTTTGAGTTCAGTGAAAAAGTTCCTAACCGGCTTATTGAGACTTACTTTGGAGGTGCCAATCTTGTCAAGAAGAAACATTTGATTAAATGTTTTGCTGACAAGAATTGGGGTCACGACAACGATGGTGATGCCTTGAAGATAGCTTTGTTGTATTTCATACACACCTTTATTTTTTTATCCGAGAAGAACAACACAACCATACCAAGGCTACATTTTGACTTGGCCGAGATTGGGCGCTATTCTGAATATCCATGGGGTTTAAAAGCATTTGAAACACTGACAAAATCTATTGGCAAGAAGATGGATACTTAGAAGAAGTATTACTGGATAGTTGGGATGCCCCTAGCTATGCAAGTGTGGTTTTATGAGTGTTGTTCAAATGTTGATCCCAAAATTGCACTCCAAGTTGATAACGTGGTCCCCAGAATACTCAATTGGAGAACCACCGAAAATCAACCAAACTTTGCTTATCTGATGAACAACATGTTCAATGACAAGGGAAACATGGTAATATATAATTTGTCTCGTGTCTAGTTTACTAATCATTAATGCTGCATACAGTTGCATACAGTTGCTACATACAGCTGAATACAGTTGCTGCTGCCTTCATTAGTACTGCTGCATATTTGGTTAATTGAAACTTCAATACAGTTGTTGCTGCCTTCATTAATACAATTGAATATAGTTGCATATAATTTACTAATCATTACTACTGCCTTCATTTGAGTACAAATTACATTTTGATTCCAGATTTGCATACATCCATTGTAGTAAGACTTTGATTATATTTCGTTTTTCAGATTATTTACAAGGACATCCATCCAAATGATATAGAGCTTGCCGTTATTCAGATTCCTCTAGTAGACGTTGCTGTTGAGAATAATCCTACTCCTACTCACTCAGACAAGTCGGCAGAGGATTCATATGACTTTTCTCCTACACCTGATATCCAGTGTAAGAAGAAACATGATGCAAGTGTTGGTCCATCTTCATCACCGCCCCATAAAAAGCGCAAGGAACAGAATATTCATCCCTCAAATACAGCTCCAGTTGGTGTATCTGAAATTGCACAAAATATTTTGCATCACAATCAACTGGCAGATTTAAAAAATGATGAAGTATCTTCTTTGAGGAAAGACCTAAATTCATTCAAAGAATACGTGAGTTTTTTATCACATTAAACATTACAATTTAGTGCTTAACATTCGTATGTGTACAAATGCACCTTTATAATTATTTCTGTCTTGCTAAGGTTGTGGGCGAGTTCAAGTCTCTGAGATCATTAATCAATGATAACTTTAAGATGCTTGCTGACCATCTTCAACACAATCAGCAAAAAGAAAGCTTACACCAGAGAAAGAAAACCACAGGAAGACGTGATGATGGTATTGAAATGCCATATGAAGCCAACTTGCAAGATATTCCAAAACGTCACAGACAGATTGATACACTAGTCGGCGATAATATTAAGGTTTAACATTTTTAACCTCTTTAGTACATGTTTATATCTCCTGTTTGCTCTTGTTAGGATTAATCATATATAAAACAATTTTATAACATTGTGAAATACAAGTATATATAGAATAATTCAGTATTTTTAATTATCTTAATCCTATATGTATTTGTATTTTCCTGACTTTATTTCTACATAATTATTGTGCTCTTCGCATGTTGTACATACATAACTATATGCATCTATATTTCTGTTGTAATGTATTTATATATATTACAACATGATATTTGTATTCATTTAAGCTTCCTCTATATAGTAATGTTATAACTTCCAGTTAGACGCATTTACATTCTGCCCAGAATATATAATGTAGTTAAATGTATTCAGATGTATTCTTAAGGAGATTTATTGAACATACTTCTAACATGTATTCATATGTATTCTTAAGACATGTATTCTGATGTATTCACTGAACATAATTCTAACAATGATGCATACGACTAACATAATGCAGTGGTTAATGCTCTTTGTGTGTAGTCAAGAGTGTTGGGGAATACTACATCAGAGGTGTCGTACAACACACCACATATAGACCAAGAGGGTGTATCTACAGATTACTATGTATCTCAATTTGAGCTGGACGACAAGTTTCTTCCCAGTCAAATTCCAGAAACTAGAATTGTGATACACAACAGTGCAAAAAAAGTTGCATCAACCCCATTACCATCTCATAAGAATCGGCGACCAAGTAAATAGTTTTCTTCCCTTACGAGTCTAACTTCGACTCCGTATGTTAGTGTTTTATAAACTAATTATCTATTTCCCCATGGTTTTTATAATTAAAATTCTCTATACATGAATTCAATGAACAACAGGTACTTCAGTAAAGTTGACCCCCATTTTTGAAAAAAGACACCCATTTGAGGATGATTCAATAACGGGGCCGCACCCTACATTAATCATTTAGGAATACGACAAATGGGTTCGTGATGGTCTTCTTGTTAGACATGAGCAGAAGTGAGTTTTTTCCCGGTATGTCTATTACGTATTTATATTTTTAAAAATGGATATAACGTTTTTATATCATACTTGTAGAAGTAATTTGGAAGACCATTACAAGAAGAACAAGTCAACACTTCATATACCATTGGATTTTGAAGTTGATCAAGTCAATTAAAAAAATTGATTTTACCTTCTATTGTTTGACAGTAAACTATGGGATGACAATGTAAGTTTTACCCCTTCCAACTCCACTATAATTCATTTCTTTAGTATTGGTTTGTCTTATTGTATAATTCAAAAATTGAGTTCTAACCCAAATTTATCTTACATTACTTTGATGTACTTAATTGTATGCAGATGTTACTAATAAATCTGTTGTATTTAATTGTATTTAGATGTATTTTAACAACTTTTATTAGCTTAAAATGCAATATGTTTTTAACTGAATCTGTATGATGTATTTAATGGCATCATTATTCCTTAATAACTACCATATTTTAATGTATTCTAATGTATTTTCAAAGTTATTAGTAGTTGTAAGTAACAGATGTATTACAGTACTATGTATTTAATTGACTCATTAGTTTTGAACAACAGCATGTATTTAAATGTATTCAGATGTATTTTAACATTAATGAGTAGTTGTAAATATCAGATGTATTTAACTAAATCTCTATGATGTATTTAATTGCCTCTTTATTCTTGAATATCTGATGTAATTCAGTGTATTCAGATGTATTAATCTATAATCTGTGTGATGTATTTAACTGAGTTTTCACTTGTCATATTCTTTTTTTTCTTAGTTTGATTAATTGGACTAACACATGTAATTAAATTTGTGTATAACATATTGACGACATATTCTACTATCTCGGAAAGAAGGGAAAGTACAACCAAACAAGCAACTTCAAGTATACAACTGTTGATTGTATATTCAAGACAAGAATCGTTGAAATCTTCGCCAGATATGCTGATACAGAAAGTAATGCTAATGTAGCCAAGAAGAGGATGTGGTATGTGAGTACATAAGGGGCTATAGATTGCTAGCTAATGTAGCTTGGCATAGTTTTGACAATGTCTTCATTCTAGTCAACTTGAAGGACAAACTACACTGGATATTTGTCACGACCCTATATTCGGACCCGGTCGTGATGTCGCCTTTCGTGCAGACAAGGCCAACCAACTAGTCCCAATTAAATTTTAAAACAGTTAAACATCTATAAACAGTCTAAGCATGAGTAAATAAGCCAAAGACTAAGCAAAAGATTTTATAATGTGCGGAATACAGACCAAACACAACCCGACATGGGGGTGTCACAAGTCACGAGCATCTACTAAAGTCTAATAAACAACCAAGTTCTGAAACAGGCTAAATGGAGTCCAAGGACATCAAGAGGGAGAAAAGCAGTGTTGCGAATGCTGGTAGCTATCTTGCTAAACTCCGATAACTCTGCCTCCGATCAGCTAATACCCGCTACCGGATTCAGAAATACCTAAATCTGCACACAAGGTACAGGGAGTAAAGTGAGTACTCCAACTCATTGAGTAATAATCATAACTAAAGTCCGAATGGTAAGAAATCACGAAAAGTGTATCAACATGCTGTATAGAAGCAGTACAAAAATCAGTAAGAAAGCAATAAAGCTGAAAAATTTCTTAAAATATCTTAGCTCAGTTTAAACTTCTTTGAAAATGATTTTTCAACAGTTACGCAAATGAATGCCAAACAATTAGTGTAGATCAGCGCAGAAAATCTGCCCCTCGGGCACAAATACACAATTAAACAGTTAATGATAGGCAAATAAGAAAGATAAGAACATAATGTTCGCCCCTCGGGCATAGTGTCAACAATTCGCCCCTCGGGCAATATCTCAGAATAGTACCAGCCCCTGGGGCACAATCACATGGAATAATACCAGCCCCTCGAGCTATCACATAGAACAATATCAGTTCCTCGGGCTATATCTCACATCACAATGGGTACCCGCGCTCACTGGGGGTGTGCAGACTCTGGGAGGGGCCCCTTACGGCCCAAGTGCAATATCAAGTCACCTCATGGCATCATAAACAGGCTCTCGGTCTCATATAAATATCAACAAGCCACCTCGTGGCGTACATATCTCAGGCCCTCGGCTTCATAATCAAATCTGTGTATGTCCGCTATGGCGTGCAACCCGACCCAAAAGTATCCTCACAACACAGGCCCTCGGCCTTACTCAGTCAAAAATCACATAAGCCACTCGGGTAACAGTAAAACATGATGCTCAACCCAAAATATGATTTAAAATATCATTTCAAGTGTTAAAACAGAGTAAACATGGCTGAGTTTTGAAAACAGTGGAAAATAACATGACTGAGTTCAAGTATAAAGTCAAAACAGTGAGAAAATAGCAATGAAAATCCCCGAAGGTTTCAAATAGTTGGCACGAAGCCCAAATATGGCATTCAGCCCAAATAATGTTGATAACAAATAGTTTTCAGCCAAATACGCGGTAAAATCATCAACCAGGACAAACCAAGTCACAATCCCTAATAGTACACGACCCCACGCTCGTCATCAAGTGTGTGTCTCACCTCAACATAGCATTACGATGTGCAATCCGGGGTTTCAAACTCTCAGAACAACATTTACAATAATTACTCACCTCGATCCGGTCCAAACTCTAGCCCGCTATGCCTTGCCCGCATGAATCAACCTCCGGATGCTCCAAATCTAGCCACAATCAGTACATAATCATTAAATATGCAAAGGGAACGAAGCCCACTCGAAAATATCCAATTTACATCAAAAATCTCAAAATTGCTCAAACCCGGCCCCACATCTTGGAATCCAACGAAATTAACATCAATGGAATCCTCATCCTCATACGAGTCTATACATACCAAGAACATTAAAATCGGACCTCAAATGGCCCCTCAAATCCCAAATTTACACTCTCCAAATTCAAGCCCTAATTCCTTAATTTTAGGCTTAATTTCATGATTAATTAGGTGGAATTCACACAAGAATCGAGTTCTGAGTTCAAAAATCTTACCTCCAATGAATCTTCTTGAATTCCCTCTTCAATTAGCACTCCCAAGCTTCAAAATCGCCCAACAATGGAGGTTCATAGCCTCAAAATCGCGGAATAGCCCTTTTAAAACATTCTGCCCAGGCATAAAAATCCTTCTTCGCGAATGCGGTCAAAGCCTCGCGTTCGCGAAGCACAAAAAATCCGCTGACCAAAAATTCCCTCGTGCGAACGTGACCTACAGCTCGCGAACGCGAAGCATCCGCTTTCCAAACCATCGCGAACGCGACCTCTTTACGCGAACGCGAAGCACAAAAAGGCTGGGACCCCATCTGTTTCTACTTACTCTATGCGAACGCGACACAGGCCTCGCGAACGCGGAGAATCAAACGTCACAACATCGCGAACGCGACACTCGAAATGCGAACGTGAAGGCAAAAACTCGCGCCTCAGAAGAATACCCTTCGTGAACGCGGGTCCCTGAACGCGAACGCGAAGAACAAATTGTGTGCAACACTTCAGCTAGTTTTCTGCAATTTCACACAACATGAAATGGTCCGATAGACCACTCGAAACTCACCCGAGGCCCTCGGGACCTCAACCAAACATGCCAACATATCCCATAATCTCATTCAAACTTGTTCCAACCTTCAGAATGCTCAAAACAACATTAAAACACCAAATTTGCATCGAATTCAAGCCTAAGAATTCCAAAATCTTCCGAATTACGCTTTTGATAAAAAATCCGACCAAACCACGTCTGAATGACCTGAAATTTTGCACACACATCAAAAATGACATAACGAAGCTACTGCAACTTCTGGAATTCCATTACAACCCCTATATCAAAATCTCACCTATCAACCAGAAAATGCCGAAATCTCAATTTCGCCAATTCAAGCCTAAACCTTCCACGAACTTCCAAAATGCATTCCGATCACGCTCCTAAGTATTAAATCACCTAACGGAGCTAAATAAATCATAAAAATTCTGATCCGAGATCATACACCAACAAGTCAAATCTTGGTCAAACCTTTCAAATTTCAAGCTTCAAATGAGAATTGTTCTTCCAAATTCATCCCGATTACCCTAAAAACCAAAACCAACGATTTACATAAGTCATAATACATCACACAGGGCAAGTCATGCCCGAGAACTGGCGAGCAAAGTGCAAAAGCTCAAAACGACCGGTCAGGTCGCTACATCCTCCCCCACTTAAACATACGTTCATCCTCGAACATGCTCAGAGTTGTTCCAAAAGCCAACGAATCGCTGAATAACCTTACCATGCATATACCCGGGGGTGATCCCACGTCACCCTATCTCATATAGGTCCGATAACACAATATAACTGAAATTTCACAATCCATCCTAGCCCATAAATCTTAGAACCACATTTCCATTACCGAAATCATCCACAAGATCAAAATCTCGCATCTATACTCCCAATAAACCCGAACAAGCTGTAATAGCCCATACCTGCAACCTCGGGTGCAATTACAAGATATACCACATAACTCAAACACTGGTAGTGATAACTTCTAATCACAGTAGCTGCACACAACAATCGAATACCGATAGAAAACCTCTTATCAATTAAAGTCTCATTCCAACACTTTCATATACTGCCAATGATAAACGAACATGCAGCAAACCATAACCATTTCTCAGACCAGCCATTCATGAAGCCACTTCTCTTTTGACAAGGACCATAACAAATTTCTGAGCCGAACCTTGATGTTATCCTTCCAACATGCTGAAATCAAATCCGTTCGTATTCATTAATGATCCCAACGATCTCATCTAATCCAACACACTACTCTGTTGACATGACACATCAATACAGGCCTAAGCCACAACTTGCACAATACGCGCACTAATAAGCAACAGTCCAAACATACTCAAATCATGAAAATGACTCAAATGAAAGAGCTGTACCTCAGGCTTACTAGTACCACCACAACACAAGGCTGAGAACCCGTCTCACATCATAGGGACAGAACACACAAATCTAACCCGCAAGGTCATACCCCCACATAACTTCACTACGATGCGATACACGATCCTATCCAAACACTGC